TGGTAGTCATTAATGTATCACCTTTAACTCATGTGAATTAGATTAATTTCAAGAAGCAGCTTAGTGTATGTTTGCAGTGAGTATGCTTTTCAATATGGCATCTTTACCTTTTAGGATGGGTGGTTCGACTTAGAAGGAGAGGATTAGATAAGTGAAAGAATTAGAGCAGGTTTGAAGTGAATCCAGAGGTTGTAGTTACCTTACTTAGGCACAGCTTGCAAACTGACCACTTGTGGTAGTCATTAATGTATCACCTTTAACTCATGTGAAACATTAATTTCAAGAAGCAGCCCATAGTATGTTTGCAGTGAGTATGCTTTTCAATATGGCATCTTTACCTTTTAGGATGGGTGGTTCGACTTAGAAGGAGAGGATTAGATAAGTGAAAGAATTAGAGCAGGTTTGAAGTGAATCCAGAGGTTGTAGAATTACCTTACTATCTTTACAAAGCTATTAACTTCAGGGGGGATAGAGAGAGTGCAGGAATAAGGACAGGAATATATCCCCTTAACAGTAACAGGCGCTTGCCTTCCCTTGAAGGTACAGAGCCATGAGTGAGGTAAAATGACTGGATAAAAGAACATAAAGAGAAACCCCTCCTAAAAACAAAAAATAATAAAAGAAGAAGTCTGAGTTATTCAGGAGCTAGAATAAAAAGGGAGATGAGGGACACTATGGTGGAGCAAGTGTCTGAGTTGGAGAGAGAGGACAGAAAAAAGAAAGAAATTTTAGAGTGGAGTGAGGAAAAAAGAAAAAAGAGAGAGGGAAAGAAAAAGAATTTGAAGGTCCTCTTTCAGGTTATCTCTGATCTCATATTATACCACATGCACAGCCATATGCGGAACCCAATCCCCTGGTCTTAGCTAGCCAATGGCTGTTCCTCACGACTGAGACTGAACACAATCTACAAGGCCTAACTTCAGTTTCCTTACCCTCAGGGTTGAACTCCACTCAGTTCTATTACAGGTTTCCCCTGCCCTTTCTTTAAAGATGTTCAAAGTTGGGAGCTCAGAAAACTACCCTTCATGGGAACCTATGCCTCTGCAGAGTTGGTCTAAGGACTGGCCCAATCAGGAGTTTTGAGAATGGGAGGGGGGTGTCATGTGGGTGTTTCAAGGGCGCCCGCGTGGCTACCTTCCTTCCTGGGTCTGTTGTTGGGCAGGCCAGGAGCTCACACACAGGCCGGGAGCTCGCGCGCACGCTGCCGGGTGATCGCAGGCAGGCAGGCAGGCAGGCAGCTGAAGAAACCCCCTCCGGAGTCTTTGGGGCCTTCCTGGGTCTGTTGTCGCGCAGGCCAGGAGCTCACACACAGGCTGGGAGCTCATGCGCACGCCGCCGGGTGATCGCAGGCAGGCAGGCAGGCAGGCAGCTGAAGAAACCCCTTCCGGGGTGTTTGGGGCCTTCCTGGGTCTGTTGTCGCGCAGGCCGGGAGCTCGCGTGCAGGCTGGGAGCTCGCGGGCACGCCGCCGGGTGATCGCAGGAAGGCAGGCAGGCCTCCAACACCATTTATTAAAGAGGCTATCTTTCCTCCACTGAGGATGGTCAGCTCCTTTGTCAAAGATGAGGTAGCTGAGTACATCTGGGTTTGTTTTTGTATCTTCCAGTCTGTTCCACTGATCCTCAGGCCAAAACAAGCCAGATTTTAAAAATACTATAACATTTCCTCTTATATGATGAAATTTGTTTTATGGAAAAAGTAGAACTTAATATATAAAATAGTGATTATTGTAAATTAAAAAGCTGGGAATGGTTAGGTAGATAAAAGTAGACTGGATGTGACTACTGCCTGCTATATACTGATCCCTAGTGTTTCTGCTTCATACATACATCAACCTCTTTCCATTCCTGGTCCCTGACCCCTAAAAGCCACTAATCCTTACTTCATTTATAAATCATTATCATTTCACACATGCTTTCTAAAGTATGAAATATCCACTTAGAGGTAATGATGAAGGAGTTATATTTGGGGGCCTGTTTTCCAATGAATCTGGCTGACACTGTGAGCATAGAGTTGAAGTAGAAACAGGATTCCAAAGATAAGAGTACAATTTAATGACAAGCTGTAACGTCTACATTTTCAAGGACATTTGAGGAGGCTATGTACATTGGATATGTTAACGCACCAGTGAAAAGTTGTTTTTTCACATTTTCTTCCCATATGAAATTATTATATAGTTTTAATTATCCAACACATTTATCCCACGGATATACAAATCTTAATTTTTACCAAAAAAATTGTTTAGCATGCTACACATCATTTGAGAAAAAAGTTATTAAAATATGTCCTATCAAAGAGAGAATTTCTAAATATGATTCAAAGATGGAATTTACTGGGAATGTTGGGAAAATGATAAAATGGAAAGCAATAGATGTAGCTGAGAAAGACTGTATAATGAATGAATTACATAACTGAACTATATAGAAAAGCCTAAATTAAAGCAGACATTTTAGGAAGAAAATACAATTAAAGTCTATTCTGGTTCTGGTATGTTGACCCCACAATTATCAATATCAGGAAAATGAATATGTTTTAGTTGCCTTTCCAAAGAGTCTTTTCAGAGCATCCTTAATGTCCTTGTTCCTCAGACTGTAGATGAAAGGATTCAGCATGGGTGTGGTGATGCAGTACATCACTGAGGCTGCTGCAGTTGAGTGTGAGTTCTGGGTAACAGCAGAACTAAGGTACACACCTAGCCCAGAGCCATAAAATAAGGAGACCACTGAGATGTGAGATGCACATGTGGAAAATGCTTTATATCTTGGAAGAGATGATGACATTGCATGTAAAGAAGAAATTATCTTAGAGTAAGAGTAAAGGATACCAGTAATGGGACAACAAGTCACTAAAAAGGCTGCTAGGTACATCACGGCATCATTAAGAAAGGTATCAGAACAAGCACAGTGGATCACCTGATTGAGTTCACAGAAAAAGTGTGGGATTTCCAAGTCTTTACAGAAAGACAGCCGCAATACCAGTAAGCTTTGTAACAAAGCATGTAGGGCATTGACAATCCAGGATACCAGGACTAGCAAGCTACAGACATTGGCATTCATGATGACTTTGTAATGCAGGGGATGACAGATGGCCACATAGCGGTCATAGGCCATCACAGTTAGCAGAAAGTTATCCAAACCTATAAAGAGTACAAAAAAGTACATCTGGGTGATGCAGCTTTTATATGTTATAACTTTGCTCTGTGTGTATATATTCACCAGCATCTTTGGCACTGTTGTGGAGGTGAAACAGATGTCCATAAAGGAGAGGTTGGAAAGGAAGAAGTACATGGGTGTGTACAAGTGGGAATCTGAGGTGACAGCTAGGATGATGAGCAGGTTTCCAATAACAGTGGTTAGATACATGGAAAGGAAAACTCCAAAAACAACTGGTTGTAGTTCTGTTTCCTTTGAAAATCCCAGAAGAAGAAATTCTGAAATTTGTGTTTCATTACTTGGTTCCATGTTGTTGGTTAGACTATAAGAGGGAGGAGGGAGGGAAAAAGAGAAGGGAAGTGAGTGAAAGAGGGAGAAGAGAAACAGAGTGGGTGGAAAGAGAGAGAAGACATAAATTACTTAACTTTCATGTTTATCATTTGTATCTTACAGTCAAGACATTGCTTTTATGTTCCACATATGAATTGATGCCCTTTAAGTGATCATCATGCCACGTCTGTTTAGAAATTACTTTCCAGTGCTCAGCCTTTCCTCAAGACCTCCTGTGTTCTGTAAGTGTAATAAGAAATTTGTTCATTTGATGAATACTTATCAAATATAAACTTTGTGCACAAACTTTGTGATAATGTGTGAATAGTACAGAAAATTAAACATCCCTAAAATCTAATTATGGAGAAAGAATATGAGGAACAATTAAAAATTATATAACATAGAAGATCATGGCAAATGTTTGGAAAAAAGAAAGCAGTTGAAAGAATTAATGTGGTGTTTTCTTTTAAATTGGGATTCAGGCAAGAGCAGCAAAAAAGGTGACACTAGAACACAGATCCCAAGGGTGATATATTCCTGGGGGAAGTATGTGTCCAGGAGACAAAACAGACAGTGTGAAGGCCTTGGAAAGGGGATATCTTTCAGGTGTTCAAGACCCACAAAAAGCCAGCAAGACAGCAGAAATAATGAGAGAGTGAGAGGGCTCAGATGTGGAATTTAAAAACCTGGACTCATAGAGACTGAAAGCAGAATAGTGATGAACAGAAGCTGGGGAGCTCAGAGGGGAAGAGGAATAGGGCATTAATTAACAGGTACAAAAACATGGATGTTAAAATTCCTTCTAGTGCTCAATAGCACAGTAATGTAACTACAATTACCAATAGGTTTTTTGTTTTGTTCTGATTTTTGTTTTTGTACTGGGGATCCAACTCAGGACCTTGCACTTACAAGGCAATCTTGGTGCCACTGAACTAAATCCCCCACCCAACAGTAGATTTTTGTACATATTAAAGTAACTAGAGGAGTTTGAATGTTCCCAACACAAATAATAACACATGCTTAAAGCCATAAATATGACAGTTACCCTGATTTGGTCATTGCATATCGCATGTATGTATGAAATTATCACATTGTACCACTTAAGTATATGCAATAATTATATATAATTTAAAATCCAAAATGAGTTAAACTAAAAAAATTGAACTGAACAATCTTAGTCCTACTAACTATATCTGTTTTTCTTGCATAGTATAAGCATTTTAATCTTAATTTCTTTAGTGGTAAAATGTAATAATAATGGCAACTAATTCATAAGGATCTTTTGAGAAGTAAATAAGAAAGATGTAAAAATTTTAATTTTTAAAAGGAGAATGGTGAATGTCTCAGAAGATGGTCTGCTGGCCAGGTGTGGTGGCACATGCCTGTAATTCTAGCACTCGGGAGGCTGAGGCAGGAGGTTCACTGTGAGTTTGAGACCAGCCTGGGCTACAAAGTGAGTTCCAGGTCAGTCTCAACTACATAGTGAGACCCTGTCTCAAAAAAAAAGAAAAGATGGTCTGCTGTATTTATATTCAATAGAAGTGAAATTATATATAAAGAAAACCCTTCTTGGGGCCGGGGATTTAGCTCAGCGGTTCGGTGGCCTGCCTTGCAAGCACAAGGACCCAAGTTCAATCCCTGGTACCAAAAAAAAAAAAAGAAACAAACAAAGAAAAAAAAAGAAAGCCCTTCTTTGCTATGTTTCTTGCAGCCCTTTTTATATCCACCAAGATATAAAATCAATTGAGCTGTTCATCAATAGATGAAGATTATGTATTCATCAATGCAAGAATGTATAAAGAACACAACAGAATGCCAATCAGTCATAGAATGAATGAAATTTTGCTATTTGTGGGAATACCAAAAAAATTATGTTAAATTTTTAAAAAGCCAAGAATGGAAAAATAAGTGGGTACTTCACTTATGAATAGTAAAAAACTTTATCTTATACAGGAAGGGAGTAGAAAAATGGTCACTAGACTTTGGGAAGTGTAAGCCTCAGGAGAGACAGACGGAGGTAGACAAGGGGCATTGAAATGCCTTTAGTTACAAGAAGTTAGTGCTGATATTCTATAGCACAGGAGTTTAGCTATAATCTACAGCAATTTAAGGCATTATAAAAAAAGTAGATGAATCTGAAGTTTCCCAACACAAAAAGAATGATTGAGAAGTTGGAGATATTAGTTGCCCTGATTTGTTCAACACACATTGTGTACATGTATCAAATTAATCATGTGTACCATAAATATATACCTATTTTAAACTATATTTTAAATTACACTAAATTAAACTGTACTTTAAATTGTATTAAAATGTTGAGGAAAGAAGGCCTTATTCCTGCTGAAATGTGAAGGCAAAACCATTGTGCCCAGTGGTTTTGCCTTTGTATTATATTAGGTTAGCTGCAAAATTTTCCCTTGAATTTGATTTGTTGTCTTGCGGTATGGTCTCTGTATTATGAATCACCCTTTAGAAGTCAGCCATTTTTTGCAGATGTACTCAGCTACCTCATCTTTGACAAAGGAGCTGACCATCCTCAGTGGAGGAAAGATAGCCTCTTTAATAAATGGTGTTGGAAAAACTGGATGTCAACCTGCCACAGATTAAAATTAGACCCTTATCTTTTGCCATGCACTAAATTAAAATCCAAATGGATTAAAGATCTAAATATTAAAACAGAAACATTAAACTTGCTGGAAGGTAAGTTAGGCAGAACTCTGGAAGACATTGGTATAGGAAAAGACTTTATGAACAAATCCTCAGTAGCACGGGAACTAGCAGATAGAATCAACAACTGGGATCTCATATTACTAAAAAGCTTCTGTACTTCAAAAGAAACCATTAGCAGAACTAAGAGACAATCTACAATGTGGGAAAAAATTTTTACCAGCTGTTCCTCAGACAAAGGACTATTATCAAGGATATATAAAGAACTCAAAACAATCAGTCCCCCCAAATATAAAGACCCGATTCAAAAATGGGCATCCGAAATGAACAGACATTTCTCATACAAAGAAGTGAAAGCAGCAAGAAAATATATGAAAAAATGTTCCACATCACTGGTCATTCGAGAGATGCAGATGAAAACAACACTGAGATTCCACCTCACCCCACAAAGAATGGCTGCTATCAAGAAATCACACAATAACAAATGTTGGCGGGGTTGTGGGGAGAAAGGAACCCTCCTCCATTGTTGGTGGGAGTGCAGACTAGTGCAACCACTATGGAAATCAATATGGAGATACCTCAAAGAGCTTGGACTGGAGGTTCCATTTGACCCAGCCATCCCTCTGTTGGGTATCTTTCCAAGAGAACTAAAAGAATCATATCACAGAGAAGTATGTGCACCCATGTTTATAGCGGCACAGTTTGTAATAGCTAAATCTTGGAAACAGCCTATTTGCCCATCCGTTGGAAACTGGATAAAGAAGTTGTGGTTTTTCTATAAAATGGAATATTACTCAGCCATAAAGAGCGAGAGAATAGATTCATTCATAGGAAAATGGATACATATTGAAGATATACTCCTAAGTGAAATAAATAAGTCCCACATGTGTAAATACCAAACAGTTTCCCTGTTGTGAATATTCTGCAACAATGCATAAGATTCTAATAAGATTACTGACATTTAGAAATTGGAAGAAAGAAGCTAAAGGTGTAGGGAAGGTGTGATGCATAGGGGAAGAACAAAAAAGGGAAAAGAAAAAATGTGAGAGAATGCAAAGATGAAAATTAAGTGTTTGTAGATGGGGAGAGGAGGAGGGGATGAAGGGAGGGCAGAAGTAAGGGGAAAAAATAAGAATCAAGACTTGCCATGTAGAGGTACATGATCCCAACAATGAATGTAACTGTACTGTATCCCTAAAATGTACCAATAAACTCAATAAAATTTAAAAAAAAAAGAAGTCAGCCATTTTTAAAATTAAGATGCAGGGCTGGGGATTTAGCTCAGCGGTTCTGGTGACTGCCTCGCAAGTGCAAGGACCTGAGTTTGATCCCCAGTACCAATAAATAACTTGATAAAGTCCTTGTATGTTGAAAATATCACACTTCAAAGTGCATGTCATGGGTCTAACTTACCGAACATCTTAGGTTAGCAGCACAGTGTGCTCCACAGCATTAGATGCTCACCTTCCTGATGAGGTGGCTCAGTGGGACTAGAGCTCATGGTCAGTGTACAGCATCGTGAAAGAGTGTCACACAACATAACCACCCTGGGGGAAGATCACAATTCAAAGTTCAAGCACTGTTTCAATGAAAAGCTTATCATTTTTCCATCATTATTAAGTTGAAACATTTCAAGTCAAATTATTATACAGTAAATTGAAAACTTTCTACATATTGAGGCCATTCTTTCTCTGAAATATGCTTGTATCCCTCATTACACATACACGCACACACACACGCATGCACGCACACATGTACACACACGTAGTCCTTGTACAGATACAGCACAATGTCTTCATTCCATACTTTTCTCATTCCTGACTGCATCATTAAAAATAAATGTATACAAGGCAAACTATCATTATCAAATTAACTTTCTTCTAAGAAATGTAGAAATGATATCCAGTTCACTTTTCTTCCATCATATATAGCTCCATTTTTTCATGACTATCATTTGCCTTATGTTTTAAGAAGCAAATACAAGGAATGGAGATAAACAGACCAAAGAAGGGGGAAAGTTCTAATAAGCTCAGAGGGTCCCTAAGAGATAGTAGGAAGGAAAAGCATCCCTGTTTCTGGCAGCATTCCAATTTTCATGTATCTTCTTCATGCCCAGAAAAAATAATAAACAATAAAAGTTTACAAATAAATTTATCAGAAAGACAAATGTAACAATATATTTGACATCATGAAATATACAGATCTAATACCGCAAAATATATCAGTGAGATTAGAGAATAAGTTAACAATTCACAGAAAAAGCACATAGAAGAGAAAAATGTTTTCTTGCCTTTTTCACAAGAATGCCGAGG